GTTATTTTGACCATATATTTTTTATAAATAATACATTTGATATAGGTTAAATAAAAATGCAAATTTGTACTATTTTTTTATTTATTTTCATTATCTCCAAAATATTATTGGACTAGTTTGATTGGATTAGGCTTTATAATAACAATTATATGTATAAAGAAAACAATCTAAATATTAATAGCAAAATAATCTGGATCAGTTCACGAACAACACTCTATGGCTGTGCCCGAGTCGGATTCGCAGATCCTTTCTCGAGAGAGATAATCAAATTTGACTTCTGAATTTCTCTTAAAATCTCTCGAAAATCTTGATTCATAAAAAGATGCAACAGAGTCCACTGCAATAACACTTCATTTGAAGCATATTCACTGTATGGCGATCTGTTTTGACAATATTAGGTTGTTTGAGCTGAGTAACACAAAACAACTTTTTTAATATAAAAATGTCCCTTTAACAGTCTAGAATAGAACTTATAATCTGCAAGCGGCAGAACGGATTTTCTTGATTTATAGGTAAGAATCTATATACACTCGATCAAGTCACATTTCAAACAAAAAAAACTAGTGTTTCATCCGTTTGGGTGCTAAGTTGCCACAGACAGATACACAGATACAAACGTTAAACTTATAACTCTTCTCTTTAAGCGTTGGGGATTAAAAAGAAGTGCCAAATGGTTCTTTAAAGCACATAAAATGTTTATTTACGAAGTAAGAAGCTAGCAACAAATGGAAAAGTTCCACTTTGGACAGTCTGCTCGATATCTTTGTTCTTTGCCGAAAATGACTTGAATAGGACATGTTACAGACTCGGGCGGGTTACATTGTATACAATATCTGCGCTTTACGACTCCAACTATTCGCTTTGCTAAACGGAATATGTATAATGATTACTTAATTCGTCGCCTTAGTGTTTACTTGTTCAAACGATTAATACCTATTGTAATTTACGGTACAGAGTTTTTATCTTCTTTTTTAAAAAAAAACTTTTTTCTAAGATTAATATATTAAACAAATACCTATCTATACTAATATTATGAAAGAGGTCAACCAAGTTGACGCATAACGCACACTTGTGATTTGTGAGTTACATGTGGGTTTGTGAGTTTGTGACGTTGTAGGGGGTAATCTCTGGATCTACTGAACCGATTTACAAAATTCTTTTACCAATAGAAAGCCACGTTCTTTCTGAGTGTCATAGGCTATATATTAACCCGAAAAATGCCAAGGCTTTTTTTTAATGGATTTATATAAATATGATGGATTTGGCAAAGTAAGTCGGAGAAAAAACGGTCGAACGAAAACGTTTCTTACGAACGCTGCCTTAACGATGAGAGATATATGATTACGTTCTAGAGAAAAGTTGTAGAGCTTAATAATGCCTACAAAAAAGTCAGCGATTCAGCATATGTCTAACTTTTATATTTAAGTCACAAAAAGTAGTTATTTATATTAAAAAAAAATAATTTGCAAATCGGTAGGTCATGTTTATTGGTCATATTATCACAAGTTATGAATTCTTATCCAAATAAGTAAATTTATAGTCTAAAATGTTTAAAACAAAATGACTTTTCCCTTATTACGGCATATAATTTGGACAAATGGTTAAAGAGATAATACAACATATTCGAAGGTATGGACGAACCCGAGCGAGCTGTTTGTCTGTTTTTCTGTTTGTACGGGCTAATATCCGAATCTATTAGACCGATTTAAATGAAATGTTTCATGGTGGTACCTTATATCCCTGTACAACATCTTAGATACTTTTCATCCTGAAAAATTAAAGAGTTCCCATGGGATCGTAAAAAAACTATAACAACTTATACAGCTTAGTACACAAAAACTACTGATTGGATTTCAATGAATACTTGACAATAATATAATAATAGTTGGATACATGACATTTTAAAACAAATCAGCTACTTTTCATAAATAACGATAAATGTAAAGAGTTTCCGTGGGATAGCCAAAAAACTACAGTAACTTCCGCCGTTATAGTACACAACAACTTACGCACCTAATGTCGTAAAATTTGGCATGCTGATACCTTAATTGCCAGTCGAACAACAGGTTACTTTACATCCCGGAAAAATGAACGGTTCCCGTGGGATAGATCTGTTTGTGCTTTTCTAGAGGTGAACCCGAGCGAAGCGAGGGTGAGCCGCTAGTATTATATAAATAAAATACATTTTTCCGGCATTATAAATTTAAATGTGTTAAATACCAAAAGAATGGGGAAGAATTTTGTTTGAGAAAAGTTTTGGATGAAAATTATACAGATAGACTTTGACCTGGAGTGACACATAGACAGTACCTACTAGAGAAAGACGTATCGACGTACGCGTACAAGAAAACAACGGTAAGCCGCTAATTAAATATATTAATTTGCCATACAGGAAATCAAAACAACCGTTTTGTTTTTATTTTGCGATAACGTTTTGGCCTGAAACACAAAAAAGACACAGTTGCAGTTGCAGTTATAAGTTATGTTAAAAATAAAATACTTAGTAGTGGAGTACCTAGGTCCAAGAATATTCAAAAGGAGACTTCAGAATTCGTTTAAAATGATTAAAATTAAATTCGTGAGTATATAAGAACATAAAGTTTCGTACAAAAGTTCTATGATTATCCCTTCAGTTGTTATTTTCTATACATTTAATCAATACAAATTATAATCAAACTGTATGCTTCTTCTAATATATTTATATTCATTTTTATTGATGCAGAGGCCATCAGGTTTTAACGGTATAAAAATAAATTGTCTGTCTTTTACCGCATCACGCGAGAATCATTGGATGAATTAATGAAATTTCATATGGTAACAACTGATTAGCGGGATCAACAAAATATTTTTTATTGCCGGCAAATGTCAAACTCTCCAACCAGTCAAGTGAGCACAAAAAATAGGGGTAGGTTAACAAAAATTCGCATAGAAAAAAAGAAATGGCAAACACCATATCTCAGGTTTGTTACGGTTTAGTGAGTTGGTTACCTCTTTAATAGATTTCTTATTTTTAGAATATAGTTTTCTAATAATTATTATCTAAGATTCTAACTAAAGAAACAAAATATGATGACACCAATCTATATATGATATAATGAGTCGCTAATTATATTTTTTTTAAATATGGTCTACAACTGTCAAACGTTTTTAGGGTTCAGTAGTCAAAGAGGAACCCTTATAGCTTCACCATGTCCGTCCGTCCGTCTGCCCGTAGCTTAGCTCAGAGACTCTTAGTAGGTACTAGAAAACTGTAATTTGGCATGGATATATGTATATTAGTCGAGCCGATAAAATGGTAAAATAAAATGTGGAAAAAAAATTTTGGGTGCCTCCTGTACACGTAAAGTGGAGATGTTTTTTTTTCTCGTCCACCCCGCAGTGTGGGGAGTCGTTGGATAGGTCTGTCAAAAATATTGCGGGTTTGTGATGACAATTTTTCGATTAAAGGATGCCAGTTTATGAAATATTATAATTCGATTGAAAATTACTTATATTATAATGTTGTTAGTTGTTTAAAACAGGTAGAAAATTTAAGTTGTGAATCATGTAAAAATATTACAAAAATAGAATCATAACATCATTACAAAAAGCCCTCTTCTTAGTCTGCATTATTGTGATGGGCAACTATGGAACTCTACAATACTGCCCGACACTTAGCCGGTATTTTTAAACTTAAACATTGCTCGGAGATATTTTTTGTACCTTAAAAGCTACATCTTTCTTTCCCGAATTACCTTAAAACATATTACAATATCTTAACTAAGGATAAACAGTTACTAATTTTGAAATATTGGTTTGACCAACATATGGAGCGCATAAGAAAATTGTCTTAATTTTATGCATATTTCCTCAATATGCTTTTTCCAATGTAAATTATTATTAATATTGAGCCCTAAAAATTTTGTTACATCGAATCGAGTTATTTGTTTACCCTCAATATCCAAAGCATTCAACATATATCCACTATATCTCAAAAAAACATTAAATTAGTTTTATCCAGATTAATCATGAGTATATAAATAATAAAGTCTAATCTTCTATTAATATCCTTCTTTATGTTTGTATTAGCAAAAGTTACAATATTATCAGCAAATAAGATAATTTTATGATCAGCAACATGTTTTGGTAAGTCGGTTATGTAAATATTATATAATAGAGGACCCATGATACTACCTTGAGAGACACCGTGGTGAATGTTTTTCAAGTTATAAGAGTAAACTATTATTTTTTTATATCTCCTACATGCTTTTGTGTGTTATTTGTTTTCTATTAGATAGTTAAGACTATATGAGATCCAAAACGTTTCCTCTAATACCAAAGGCATAAAGTTTGTGCAGAAAAACATGTTAATTAATTTTTAAACATTTTATTATATTCTGAAGACATTAAAGGAACCTTTGCAGCACTAATTTGAAAATCAGTGTTTCCTTACTATACTTTCTGCTTTCTGCTAGTAAAAATACGACGTGTCTTCGATAGTGGTACCCGACAGTAGGCTTTGATCTAGTCGATGGAAAAATTTCTATCGTCAACTAGCATTGCCCGCGGCTCCGCCCGCGTTCAAATGAGAAAAACCAAATTCTTAGGTTTTACATATTATTATACTCTTCCATTGCAGTTTTTGCATTTTTTCTCAGAAATAAGACATTTCCGCGCGGTAAAAAGTATCCTATATGTTGACCCGGATAACCAGCTATCACCATACCAACTTTCATCAAAATCCCTCCAGTGGTTTTTTCGTGATGCGGTAACAGACAGACTGACAGAAATTCTAAAAACTATAGATTCGGCCTCTGTATCGATAATAATGTCTATTTCAATAAAATTTTCCAAAAAATATTCAATGTACAAGTTCGGCTTAGTTACATTACGTAGTTATTATATGTATAGATGACGAAAGAATACTTTATGAAACAAATTATTTTATTATAAAGCTAAAAATATGCAATAGGTAATTAAAATAACGAACGTTTATTATTAGATAACATTTTATTTCATTAAACGTTTGCTTTGAAGCACTGAAATTTCCTCCCGGATGTAAGGTCACAATTTGGTCTGAAACATATAAATATACATTCAAACAAGGCCCATGTGAAGAGTCTCGGTGGCTTGAAATTAATGCTTTTGTTAGTTATTACTGATGTGACAATAATAATTTTTGTTTTTACAAATTCATAATAACATGCAGAATTATAAAATTCTAATGAAACAATAATTCTAAAGTAAAGCATGAATAAAAGAAGAAAAAGTAGCTTTACCTTCTAGATTTTTAGCTAAAACCTTAAACATGCACGACATATTATATATAGATAAATTTAATATACCTTCAACCTGGTAACATTAGTATGATTGCAATGTTATAATATTCAAAAGGGAAAATAAGAAAATTAATAATAGTATTTTTTGAATATTTTCATTCATTTTCTTCATTATTATAAATAAGCACGCATTTAAAGTAGGTATATGTACTATAATTTGATTATATTTTATATAAAAAATTTTTTATCTACACATTCACCAATTGGTAAACAAATGGAATATATTACAATACTCTTTTTTAGTTATATTGAAAGATTTATTTTTATCATACATCAATTTATTTCGACGTTTTCGTTATGAGATTATTTTTGGGTATAATTTATACTATTTCAATTTATTTTCAGTGTATTTTGTTGTATGTAGTAAGAATTATATAAACATAAACACTTAAATGTGGCGCGTATTTTGCAGAACACCTCTAGCTTTTTAGATAGAAAAATTGCGCTTAAGGACAATCAGTAGGGACTCCGTATTGAACATTAAATTATGATCATTAATCATATAAAATAAACTAATGTAATACTTTTAGCATTTTAACAGAATTTTCTCAAACCCATTATCCGCTTTTCACAGAAACCTTTTTTTTGAGAGAAATCAAATCTACAAACTAATTATAATTAGCTTTACCAACCGTCATACAAATTTAAACGTTAACAAACAAACTGATGATATATAAAAATTATTGTAATTGATCCTCTTACAAAATAATAAATATTTTCCTATAATCAATATTTTTTTTAAATATATGGACGAAACTAGATACTGCTATTTGGAACAGTTTTGTTTGGTTCTGAATTTTCTTATATACATCGCTGACGACTTAGTAGTTACTAATGTATTATATATTTTATAAGTATAGATAAATTAACATTTATTATAGTAGATAGAAGTAAATTTTAGTATGTTATATAAAATCATTCATCGAATGCTAAATTCATTTTAAAGAAGCGTATACATAAGCACAGGCAGATAGTTAAAGAAAACCATTACCAGTCTAAAAATAAAGTAGAATTTTTTACTTAAGCTTCATATTTAAATAAAGCTCTAGTTTGTTTTACTTTGCTTTGTTTTAACAGAAAAATTGTCCATATTAGTAGCATACATGCATTATTGGATAGGTATAATTTGTGCAAAAAAAAGAAAGCTAGATATTTTGTACATCGAAGAATATACACATATCTACAACAGCATGCGCTTATAATTTTGTGTAAATACCTAAGTAAAGTAGACTCCATTGAACAAAATATTTCTTCCATGACATAAATAGAACATGAACGGATGGTCTGCTTCAAATATAATATTTTCACTTATGATTGCTGACAGATAACTAAAGCCAAAAGGTGGAATACCAATTAATAATGGACTTGGAGGCAGTGCAGGCATCAACCAAATAGGGAAAACTGAAATTAAATTAATAAAAAAATAAATAAATATGAATATGTTGGGAAGTTAACATACAACGCCATCTAGTTCCATGGTAAGCTACGAGGGTTGTGATATGAATACCAGATAGTTGATAGACTACACATAATATATAACTTTAAATACATACATATAAATATAAACACACATAACTAGAGTACAAACATTTGTGCTCATCACACAAATGAATATCCCCAGCGGGACTCGAACCCGCGACCGCTGGCACAGCAAGTAGGATCACTACAAACTGAGCCAAACGTGTCGTCGCCGTATATTAATGTATTATTATTATTAATTATTCAATTCAAGTCTTGGTTCTGTAGCTTATAGGTGTGCCATTTGGGCACAGTTTACTTCGCCAATGTCGTGTGGAATGGAGAATTATTAATTATAATAATTTTATTATGTTGACAATTGACAGTCGTTGTTGATGTTTAAACGGTGTAGTTAGAGCTTAATTAATAAATTATATAAATATATATTATTATATTATTATGCCACTCATTATTTTTAAATAAAGTTTGTTGATGTATATTTTGTACATCTGCGAATTGTGTTTACCCTCTATATACCGAAAGTACATCGGTATACTTTATTCAAAGTTTATTAAGCAAAAATGACATATATATATATACTAGTTATTGAACTAATGATCCCAGCGTAAAAATTATAATGTAAAAATATTATATATTAATGATAGTCTAAGTTATATTAGACTATCCAGAAGGTGACCTCACTTTATACAAATTACCCGAACACCACTATTCTTTTTTTGTTCTTGAGTTATACCTACTGATTTTCAAAAGGGCCTTGATATTTAGTAATAAGTATATAGTTTTAATTTAAAAGGCTTGACCTAATTTTCGCCAAATAAAAAGTACACAAAATGCTGGCATAATTAGTAAGTAATAAGCATGCCAATTCCTCTGCCATGCCAATAACTTGCAAATGCTCATGCAATAGTTTCGACATAAAGGAATTTCCATTCAAATATCGTCCCCTTCTCCTAGGGAATAAAATTCTAAGTCCAATCTGTACATTCAATAATTTTTTGGAAAATCTTACTGAAACAGTCATTATTATCCATACAGAGGACGAATTTATAGTTATTAGATTTTTTTCTGTCTGCCTGCCTGTCTGTCTGTCTGTCTGTCTGTCTGTCTGTCTGGGAACGCATCACGAGAAAACCACTGAACAGATTTTGATGAAATTCGGTATGATATCTGGTTATTCGGGTCAAAATAAGTATCCTATACTTTTTACTGCGGGAAAAAATCCAACCGGGCGCGAAGCTAAGAAACGCACAGGTAGGTTGCCTACTTCGTTGGGCGGTGGGAGGTGGCCCTCTTCGGGGGGCGGTGTACCTTGCGGGTTGCTCCTGGTACTTCTCTGATAGCAGAGTGGACCTTGGAGCAACCCCATGGTTGTGGTGGTCTGCTTCGGCAGACCTGCCGTCGGGGCGTCGTAGTTGAATGCGTAAGCGATCCTGCGACGCCTCATTAGGACGGGGGAAGGTTTTGTTAGGTTTTAGTGGGTAGTACTGGCTGTATTACGCCGGTGAGTCCTACACGTCGTGCGTAAATGCATTTCCCAACGTTAAAAAAAAAGGCTATATTTATTGGCTTAACACCATTCAAAGCCGTAGGTTTAATGATAGTTTATTTTTTGTATTTTCAGAAAAGACATGTTTCATAAAAATATAAATTTGATTCAATTTAATGGTTCTATAAAAAAAATTGTTCTCACATAAAAAGAGTACATAATTAAATATTTTTATATGAAAATCATAAGTTTACAAAGAACTTAGTATAATATTTTATTTTCCATACATAATTCCGTTAAACATTATATTCAATTGTTTGATAACAAAGTAAAATGGTCTATCGGCCTTGAAGGCTGGAGGAGGGGTTTCATTGATCAGAAGTCTGGTTGCCACAATATTAAAAACTGAAAAGAAATGAGTTTTTTTTATTTATGTAGTCTCACTATTCTTCTCATGTCGCGGGCGAGGAGATTATAATGATTTTTGATATTGTTCACCTTTTTTGAGTTCATGTTTAAGGCGCCATAACTCCGAAAAAATACCTTTAAGTTATTTTTTTTTAATATTTTATATAGCATTTCATGTTATATAAAAATTGAAATTATAAATTCAAAAAGAGATTCAAATTGTTTTACTCGGTAGAAAAAAAAAGCAAAAGTTTCTTTATATTATTTTTTTCAACATAATAATTGTAAGTAATAAAATGTACAATTTCAAATGTACTTTTATACAAAGTATTATTTGATTTAAAAACATAATATTACTATTATTAGTCTTGAGTCTCTTTTCTTTTGTCTTTTTGAGTAGTCTTAAAAATGACAATTTTAAGTATGCTTTTAAGCACAAACCAGTCCATAGACCACAAACCAGGGCATAGATTTTATCAACGTCGGAATTTATGCCTTCTATGCTGCATAGAATCAGACATCGCTAATAAAGCAATAAAAGAGGAAAATATCAGATCTTGAAAACACATCGAATGAAAATCGAACTCTTAACGTGTAGCTCGCTAAGTAGAGATTTCTCACTCCTTTATATGCATAAACATTTTTTTGGCCCTATGGCGCCATAACATCAAGCTTGTGCCCAAAATGGTATTAAAATAAATGAATATACTATTTAAATATATATATGTATATATATATATATATATATATATATATATTATATATATATATATTATATATATATATCTTGAAATTGATATAAAAGAAATATACATTTTATTCTATAAGATGAAGATATTTCGAGACCCTGGGACGTACATAGGATAGTTTTTATCCCGGAAATCATCCCTTAAGTGGGTGAAAAGGGGGATGAAAGTTGGTATGGGAAATCAATCATTTCTCAAGTAAGGGATATAATACTCATTATACCTATGTATATACATATAGATATATTATATGTAATAATATATAGACTATCTATTCCATGCTAACCGTTAAACGGTACAAGGGACAAAGCCGAGCAAAGCGAGGGTGAGTCGCTAGTTAATTATAAAAATTTAGAAAAATATATATATAATTTTATATTTTTGTCGAAATTTGAATATTTGCTGTTTACAACAAAATAAATAATTAAACATATTTTTTTTGAACTTACCGTTAGCAGCAGTGGCTTCTGTTCCTTCTTCGTTGACTTCGATAAATGCTTTTTGTGTAGCCGAGTCTACATATAAATCAGTAGCACCGTTTAAAAGGTTATCTAATCTTGCTTCACCTGAGTTAAATAGTTTCTTCACGTTCAACTGCAAAAAATACATTAACGTTTGTCATCTATACATATTATAATAAAATTCAGACACAACATAACTAAAAACACTTCCGACTAATTTGCCTTTCAAACAAAAAAAAGCAAAATCGGATTATCCGTTCGGGAGCTACGATGCCACAGACACTGCTAACAGACAGACACACAACACAGACACGTCAAACTTATATCACCCCGTCGTTTTGCGTGGGGGGCTAAAAAGATAGCCTTATTTTTCTAATTTGCATGTACTTACATTTTTAAGAAGTTCTTTCAGGTCTGTTTTAGTTTCAATTTTGAATCTAGGTAGGTAAACTTCGACTTCTTTCTGATACATATCATTAAGAGCACTGTTTAAAGCTGAAGGATCTTTTAATGTTTCTTCTAGCTCATTTATTCCATCAAAATCACGTGGTAGAATAACAACAAGAGACATTTCATTTCCTTCATACGGAAGCTCGAGAATCTATAAAGTTAGACATTTAAATCAATAATCCTATTTTATATCGTATTTGTATTATTTTTTTAATTTAAAGTGTAGTAATAGCGATCACGTACCTGAGCTTTCAGTTCATTACTTTCTGCATAGTTATAATAACCTTTTCTATACATCATTTTAACTTTGGTTGTCTTGCTCTTGCTGAAAATCGTGTGAAAATCTTTATCTGATGTTGCTTCCTTAGAGAACTTATGTTGCCAAGTGCCCTGAGGATAACATTGTTGGAATAATTTAATTCAATGTAATTGTAGAGAGTTTTATGTGACTACCTACTACATAGTAATGGTAAATACCTTGAAGTATATTGCATTAACTAGAACAGATTTAGTGACTCCATTAAAGCTGTCAGGTTCAACCAAATCTTTAATTTGATGATTTGTTTGCTCTTCAACCTGTAATAATTTATTTATTAGTAATGATTTATCATATAGAATTATCTGGTTCAACATCGAGTATGTGAAAGTACCATGTGTGAACTACACAAGGTGTTTTCCGAATTATTATGCTCGATATTCAAAAGTCAAAAACGGAATCCTTATAATTTCGTTATGTCCCAGTTTTTGAGATATGAGATATTTTTCGTTTCACACATTCGGCCACAAAATTAAGTTTGATTCCCTTCAAAATGAATATATTGTGAATGTGTAAATATTATATTTCACTTCTAACGTGTATGCTAAACTTATCCCATCTTTTATTTAAATATATTTATTGAACATTGATATTAATATTGTCATTAAACTTCAATAGATTATAGTATTAGGGTATAAGTATCAAAAAACAATTGAATACGATAACATAAAAATTTTACTACTCATGAGCATATTCCAAAAAATATTGTTTGAACAATTTTCACTTTTCTAATTTTTAAATAGTTATTATTATATAATTATAGAGATAAAATATACAATATAAAATACAATAATGTTTGACATTCTAATACAATATTTCTTGCGAGAATCTTTTATAATCTAAAAGCATGTCTTTTAAAAATGTTTTTAAAAAATAGAAAAATATTTTGGTAATTGTAATGTGTAATCAAGTAAAATGAAATATTACTTAAACTTTTTAAAAGAAGTCATTGGTAAAGCCCGATAGTGCCGAGATAGAGACATCATATATTTGATGACGTAAATGAAGCCAAAGGGTTTTGTCTAATAAAAAAAATTAAAAAATATGTAACTTACCCATTGATTAATTTCATTCGCTGCAGCCACATTGTTACTGAAGTCAATGTTTTGTACTTCAGATCCAAATACGTCTCGCGTAACGACAGCAAAACTTTTGTTTAATTCATAACCTTTTCGTATGTAGATTTTGTTGGCAGACTTTAATGTTACGTTTTTTACTGATCGCACTAAGGTATTAGTATACGAAAAGACAGCCTTGGTCTATAAAATAAGATAAAATTATGTGAAAGATGCGAAACTTAAACCAGCTATAAATCATATTACGAGTATGAGCGTGATTTTTCATGAGGTATGTAAATCTATTTATGAACCTATACTTCTCAGACAAAATATACTATTTATTTAATTATTCTACTATCATTGTTAATTTTACTTACGTCGTTATCATTAGCCAATCCCATACTGTTAAGAAGTTCATCATGAGATTCACCTACAGACGCTAGGGCTAGCTGACCCAGAAGCGGCATAACAGAAAATCCTGATAGCACATTAAACATGTTGGCGGTAAATTTATTGCTGCCATCGTGAAGAATTGACTTAAGTCTTGCCTCATCATCATTTGCGCTTAATCCTAGTATCAGAGATGTTACTGAAAATAATATAATATTTAAATAGATATATATATATTTTTATTTGGGATAACTTTTTTTAGAGGCGAAGCGAATCTGACGAATCTGATTTGAGATTTTCACTGCAAAGATAACACTATTGAGTCTGTTACCGAAGTCCAAAAGAGATGCATCTTTAGGCATCTGTTTCGCATCTTCCATTCCTTTAAACTGTATTCCTCAAATGCTATTTCATTCACTAGTTTTTTGAACTTATTATTTATAGACAATTTAGTAACTTTTGTTTTTATTTTATCAGCTGTGGTTTGCTCACAGCAAATCTAGATATACCTAATGTCCCACAGATGCTTTGCACTTTTTCAAGACCTCAAAATTTAGAAATCTTCTGGTTAGTAGCCAAAAGCTTTTCAGTGTTCCAAACAATATGTTTATTATATCTCAGTTATTCGAAATCCTTGAACTTAAGGTAATGTGCATTGATTTACCGTATATTCTTATAATTATTATAATTATATCTCAGGTTGCATAATCTTATATCAGATGTGCATAATAACAATTCACATATATGTATTTTATAATAACATTTTTTTTTATTAACAATTTTACAACTAATAATTGCTATGGTTTTGTATTGATACGTCTTTGTATAATTTTAAAATAATAATATAAATGTGTATACAGTGTAAACGCATTCGCTTAGGAAACTGACTGAAGGTGGTTAATTCCGGGTCTCGCACCTCTGGTGTATTATTTCTAACATGATTACCACTTGTCTTAGGAAGAAGGAAAACATCGTGAGGAAACCTGTACGTCTGAGAGAACCTAGCAAGTTTTCCAAAGACATGTGAAGTCTGCCAACCCGCACTTTGCCTAATCCCCCGCACTAACGCTAACGCCCCTCGTAGGTGAAAGGAGGCCCGTGTCCAGCAATGGGACATTAAAAAGGGCTGATGTATACATTTTCTGCGATGTAATTAGAATTAAGGCGTGAATGGCCATCAATCTGTTAATTGGGACGAGATTAAAACATTAAAGCGTTCATTAGGAACAAAACTTTTATGACTTTTATGGTTTAAAGTTTAAATCATAACGGTCGTGGTGTTATTATCATATGGAATGCCATTAACCCTAGCCAGCTAGCTATATGTTTATATTTAATTTTTTTTTGTTTCTGTGATATTTTAAGCGTCTATGACACATAACATAAACAAGACGATAGCCTTCAACTATTTAGTAGTATGTATAATAATAAAAATCATGCTAAAATAAGTAATTCCCATTTTCCTGCATATAAATAATATTTATTGTTAACTATGTCATTGTACATTATTTGAATAATGAAGGTCTGTCGTCATATTTTATTGGCAAAGATTTAGTAGTAATTTTACCCGACTGCGGCCTACGAGAGGGTTTTGTGTTTAATCTGTATGTATATATGTACTATGTATGTATGTCCGTTTTTATGATTTATACGTCATTAGATTTGTCTTGATAACGCGAGTGCCATCTTATCTTACTACTATATAAATGGGAAAGTTTGGATGTGTGGATATTTGTTAATATTGGAGATGAATATTTGCATTCGCATTCAATTCGCGAATGTGAAAAATCGAACATTCGTATATCACTAGTATAGATATCAATAAAAATCAAAATGGCGGATCTTAATCGCCAATTTGTGTGTCTTGAAAAATTGTTTTTTGTCCGAATCAACCGAATGGGGTATTAAAACCTAGGTTTTTAAGAGGCGATTACAAAATTAATTATATGTTTAAAAACAATTTAGTATAAAAAATTGTTAAATAAAACTAAAAATGTCTAAAACACCAAAACTAAAAAGCTGCAAATAAAAAAATAAATAAAAAATCCGACGACCAAAAAGTAAAGTAGGTAAGTAAGTACTGCTAGTATATAACATGTACATGTCCCATCATTTCAATTCAAACATCATTATTATTAGCGTATTTTTTATGGTTCTATGATCTGTTTGTCTCATGTTTATTTTTAGTTCGGGATTTCCATTATTTGTTCGCCTATGTTAGACACTAGACAGTCATGTCGTTAAATACATCATGAATACACATCTCGCATGTGAGAGAAGTGGTTTGAATAGGTCTAAGTGGTACACTCTATGGCAAAAAAGCGAGTTAACAACCAAAATTTGTCCTTGACATTAAATGTACGCTTAGTGCGAGTAAAGAGATAAGGAATATTGTAACAAACGTTTAGTGATCAAATATAGTTGGTTAAACATTTAACATGATAAATTGATTAATTAATAATATAGTTGCAATACTTTTCAATTTGTTGTCTTTAAAGAAGTTTACATTTTGATATGTTGTTCGTAGAACATATTTAAGACATAAATAAAATGAAGAAATTGGTATATCTATTCTATCTATACATACCTACATATAATAAAATTGTAACTGAGCAGAATCTGTACATGAAATATTTTTTGGAAAATCTTATTGAAATAGACATTACTATCGATACAGAGGCCGAATCTATAGTTTTTAGAATTTTTGTCTGTCTGTTACTATACTACTGGTGACAGCTGGATATCCGGGTCAACATATAGGATACTTTTTAGCGAGGGAAGATACTTCATTTTTGAACAAATATACAAAAACTGCAATTTATGAGTATAATATGTAAAACCTAAGAATTTGGTTTTTGGTCATCTAAACGCGGGTGGAGCTGCGGGCAATGCTAGTGTGGTACTAAGAATATTCGTATATCCAAAAATATAACATAAGTATAGTACGTTATAAGCTACAGAAACTTCGGTTTATGACTTTTTTAATTGCAGGTAACAAAGTAAAAAAAAAGCATAAGCAAGCTAAGTACCTATTTTAATATATTTTTTATTACATAATGTGTTATTCAATTTACTTTTGAGACATTTTTGCCCAGAACTTAGTTGGGATTTTGTCTCAACTAAGTTGTTTTATTATTTACTTTAATTTTATTGACTTTATAATTTACATATTAAATCTTATTTATCTCAAACAACTAAATAAACGAACCTGATGCGGACACAAGGCCAGGGTCAGGCGTATTATCAATTCCTTATAATATTTTTGTCGACAAATATGATTTACTAGCATTGCCCGCGGTTCCGCCCGCGTTGAGATGACCAAAAACCAAATTCTTAGATTTTACTTATTAGTATACTCCTACATCGCAATTTTTGCATTTTTTCTCAGAAATGAGACATTTTCCCGCGGTAAAAAGTATCCTATATGTTGACCCGGATAACAAGCTATCACCATATCAAATTTCATCAAAATCCCTCCCCAGTGGTTTTTCCGTGATGCGGTAACAGACAGACAGACAAAAATTCTAAAAACTATAGATTCGGTCTCTGTATCGATAATAATGACTATTTCAATAAGATTTTCCAAAAAATGTTTAATGTACAGAATCGACTTAGAATTTTATTAGATGTATAGATATAATTTAATGTGCTATAGATATTAAAAACCAGAAAACAAATTATCATAGACCAAGAAAACAAATTCTTAATCATTATAATGTTAGGATCAACGAGAATCGGAAAAGTCATCCGTATTAATATTATAAATGTTAAAGTTTGTGAGTATGGATGTTTGTTACTCTTTAACGCCAAAACGGCTGAACGGATCTAGATAACATTTGGCACAGAGATAGATTATAGTCTGGAATATACCTATATATACTACCTTTTATTCCGGAATAATGTACGGTTCCCGTGGGATAGGTTTGTTTTTGTTTTCCTAGTAATTAATAACTTTTCAAATCACAAAATAATTGCCATCTAACAACTTATAAAAATGTATTAAAATATACAAAATGATTTGAGGGTGAATCTTGAAATCGGGCGTATTCAGATGATTCCTCTGGCGATTTTTTTATCTAATTATTATTTACTTTTACATGCAAAAGTTTAAATATAACATAATTATAAACACATTTATCAAATAGGCATCACTGTAACTAGTATCGTTATAAAGATATATGTGATTTAAATTTTTGGTGGCAGGGGAGTCAATAAAAGGTGGCAGGGGAGTCAAAATTATAGCTATTTTATATGAATTATATGTTTTATTTAAATTTTAAACTAATCAGTCTTTTGATTTCAATATTTGGACTTTACCCTTAATAAATAATGATAATAATTATAACTAAAAAACAAATAAAATCATATGTTAAACAATGTAAAATAAATAAAAAATGAGTTTACATTCTAAATGAACAAACAATTTTCTAAAAAATATTATAATCAGAAGAATCTGAATCTTCATCACTATAGAGAGCGGATAGTACGACTTTAGTCATAGAAGATGTGATTAAGTTCTCATTCATTGATGGGACATCACTCTACAAGCTGTCATCAGATGGTACATTATTAATCTCAAATTGGTTACTCTGGATTGAAGTTCCGGCCAGCCGATAGTTCGGGCTTGAGTTAGCAGTAATATCAATCTGATTTTCGTTTATTGCGGTCTTTTTTGATATCATAGTTTTAGGGGTACTAGTGTTCTCCAAAGTTATACTTCGGATATTATAGAAACCGATATGTTGTCCATGGGGACAATAATTTGATTCTTCAGAACATTTTTCTAAATTACAGCTAAGGTGTCTCATGGCTAGGACCTTAGGATTATTACAGGTCCATATCGTTTGATGAACTCTCATGGTGCCTCGAAATTCTTTTAAATCAGAGGGAATTAATAGTTCCGTCTCCAAAATGCCAGATTCGTGAACTTCCATTATCATACCCTCGGATATTTGAATTTGAAGGTGACTAATAAGGAGATCAATGGAAAATCATTCCCTACAGCAACAATCCGATCAGCTGCTATTTTTAATACTTCTCCCACACTATCAGGAGCTCCTTTGCCATGCCCTTTTTCCGAGTAATTCCAAACTACACGCTGTAAACTTTTATAGTCCCAATGAAGCTTAGCCATCACGTAGAACATTTTTCGGTTTCTATATTGAGCAGATGGCAAGTCTGATATAAAATGCAATGTCTCCAGTACAGAAATGTTGCCGCTAACAAAGTTTAACACAGGAACCAAATGCTCCCAGATGGCGACAGCATCGTGTCTTAAGCATTCACTTAAAGTACAGAAAGATTTAGTACATAGCTCCCCATTTTGTAATTAGTAAATAACAGAGGTATGTAATGATACTCGTATCTGCTGTCGAGAACTACCAAAGAGAAAAGCCTGAATTTCGGAAGCATATTTAGTATTGTAGGGTTTACTGAAATCATAGTGCATAATGCATTCTCCTGATTTCAGTTTTGATTTCAAGTTCTTGATATAGTTGTTTTGGCAAACAATATTGGCACAGTGACTCATGTACTGTTTTAATAACCACTTAAAAAGCTCAATTATGACACTGTTCATATCAGAATCATCATTGTCTTCAATAATTATGTGTTCTTCAAGTTCTTTTAACTTCTTTAGTTTTTTTTTCTGATTATATCGTTTTGAACTTTCTCTATCCCTTTTTATCATATTTTTTTGTTATCTTGGAGACATTTCACCTATTGGTAGAATTATTCCTTTACTCTTTTTGGTTAAATATTTTTGTCTTTCTTTTTCTTGTTGATTTGCTCGTAATACAGGATCACTTTTATTTTTTTCTAATCTTTGTCGCTCAGTCACAGTCGTTTTTTTCTCTAGTATTTCTTCTCTTGTTTGTTTTGGAGTCATTATTTAAGCCTGTAACATTAAACTAACAAATAAATTAATTGACACCACTTTCATTTTTTTACATCTCATCAGTCTCCCTTCAACGAGAGCTCAAAAATACTTTATTGATAATGTAACTACTAAATAATAATTTAAAATATAAGATTTTGTAGGAGAAAATAAGAAATAATACATTACCCTGGTACAACACCGGGGGAATCAACACCAATGGAATCAAAAAAGAGCACATTTTTTGTCGATTTTGTAAAAATCGAAATGTTTTGTCCAGAAGTAATAAAATATATAATTAATAACACTTTACTCCGTACTGTATACCCTAGTTAAGAAACCCTAAATTATCAAAAAACAATTTTAAATGTGGGAAGGGTAATCAATGACCTAGTGAAACAAAACCAAGGGAATCAAATTCTTACCTTCGTAAATCCAGTTTTGAGCAATGAGAAGCTTGACCTACCCTCACGATGCTTAAAGCGCGACTTAAGCTTGGCCGACAGCGCGCGCTTATACTCCCATGACATTCGTTTAGTGATGTACGAGTGGATAAATCACGCGCCAAGGGGATCAATGTTTGACCTCAGACAAACCAAAACTATTTTTTTTTATTTAAACTACGTTAAATATTAGACATTGTGTAATTATTTACTTATTTAACAACTCTTCCATTAACGTTTAGATCAACACAATTCCTAAATTTCCTATTATACATTGGTGTAAAATTAATAGTTTGTTCCATGAATATCAAAGGGACAACCCAGGGGAATCAATTTTCAGGGCTTTGAATTTTTTTTTCACACATTATCAACTATAATAACTTCGTTAACTAGCATGCCCCTAGTAGATCAAACATTAAACTAACAGCAAAAAATATTTAGATTACAATTTTTATACGTAACAGGTAGTTTTTCCCTCCAGACAATGTTAATTTAGTCTCTCAAGATTCACCCTTGAATACATAAATAATACTTACAACATATTAATATTAGTCGCTTCATGTTGTCGAGCACCACACTTGAATGCTGTACTAACACTAACCAGTTTTCTTAAGCGATTCCCGCTTATAAATAAAACGTGTTATGTGTTACCATAGCAAACATTGTGCGAGTTGGGTCATCAAATATTTCAGAGAACTGGTTTGTTTTGTTCTTTATTCCTATTACAAAAACGTTGAGGATAAAAACATGATAACATATGTCTAACTTTTATATTTAAGTCACAAAAAGTAGTTTTTTATATTGAAAGAATAATTTAAATCGGTAGGTCAAGTTTATTGGTCATATTATCAACAATTATGAATTCTTATCAAAATAAGTAATTTTATCGTCTAAAATGTTTAAAACAAAAGACTTTCCCCCTTTACTGCATATAATTTGGACAATTGGTTAAAGAGATAATACAACATATTCGTAGGTATGGACGAACCCGAGCGAGCTGTTTGTCTGTTTTTCTGTTTGTACGGGCTAATCTCCGAATCTATTGGACCGATTTAAATGAAATTTTGCATAGTGGTACCTTATATCCCCGGGCAACATCTTCGATACTTTTAATCCCGGAAAATTAAAGAGTTCCCGTGGGATAGTTAAAAAACTATAACAACTTATACAGCTTAGTACACAAAAACTACTGATTGGATTTTAATGAAACTTTACAATAATATAGTTCATACATGACAAAAACAAATCAGCTACTTTTGATCTCGGAAAATTAAAGAGTTTCCGTGGGATAGTTAAAAAACTTACGCACCTAACTTAGTAAAATTTGGCATGCTGATATCTTATATTGCCGGTCAAACAATAGGTTACTTTTCATCCCAGGAAAATGAACGGTTCCCGTGGGATAGATCTGTTTGTGCTTTTCTAGAGGTGAACCCGAGCGAAGCGAGGGTGAGCCGCTAGTCTATACATATAATAAAACAGTAAATTGGCGAAATCTGTAGGTAAATGAAATATTTATGTTTTTAAAATAATGACTGTAACGAAGTCTGTACACAGTATAGACCCCAAAGCAATAGTTATAATTTTTTTTGTCTATTTGTCTGTAGGTCTGCTTATCTGTGCGTGTGTGTGCGTTTCACACACAAAGTACTGAACTGATTTTAACTAAAATTGGTTTAGTGATAACTTATTACTTGGGCCAACATTTAGGATATCTTTTACTACAGGAAAGTTTTTCATTCCACAGTCATGTCAGTAAATGAAAACTACCAATCAGTTATTTTTTACTTTTTAGTGCTTTTGTTTGAAGTCGGTTTTTATTTTTTTGTTAAAAAGTTTTTGCTTTTTTTCATTCAATGCTAAGTTGTTTATTTAAACCCAGCAAAGTCTATGTGACAATGTCCAAGCTAGTGGTGGACGGAAACGTCGTAGCTTAGTATGAAAAATACCATATTGGACGAAGAAGACAGTTTAAAATAATTGTCTAAAGCTGAAAGCTTTGCATTATTTTTACAATTACGTATTAAAAATACCCTGAAACGTTTATATGAAACGGTAAGACCCATTATTATTTATTATCAAAAATGTTTTGAACTTAATTAATCTTTTTATTTACTAAATTAGATAAGACAAGATCAAGTTTGGAGCGGATTGACCCTTGACGGCTTCAATCTTATTGTTTGACTATAACTTCGCAAGAGATGATGAAATTTCAGTTTGACTTTGCATAATTTTGATATTTGTGGATACCTAACTTAACAGATCTGTGTGCCTCTTACTGCTATTGATTACACTTAAAGCCTTCATATTTAGTGGAATGTATTTATTTGTCAGTGGTTTCGTCCGCGTAGAAAGTGTTGTTTTTAAATTCTTTCAATAAACTTATGTATTAAAAACTTCAGGATGAAATGTTGCAGAAATAATATTTCATATTATATTTTTTAGCGGATATATGGGTATAAAATTATTCTATTCGTTATGCATTTTTCTTTACACAATTTCTTATTAGGATGATCACCGGGAAGCTATTTTTAAAGTATTACAAATATAATATGTACTTATTCTTGATCAAACTAACATTATCATAACTTTGAAGTTTGACCAATTTTAAAAAAAGAGGATTCATTCTATTAAAGGGTAGTTCACTACGAACTTCAAGAAAATTTTAAATCACCCATTATATGTTCTTTTATTATGAATATTATATTTTATAATAAATATATATCAAAACATACAAAATTATTGGGTCTGTATTGTACGTATTCAGTCGCCTGTGATCGTAGAAGTTTCCTTGGCATATAATAAACTTATTAATTTATAATTACCTAAAAATATTTCTCCTATAAAAAAATAATACTTAAAGAAAACTTTACTAAATTTCAATTCTTATAACGTGGTTAAAATTTGAGAGACTGAGAAATTATCTTAAATATATTGATGTCCAACCCGCCAAAAGCCAACCCGCACTTGGCCAGCGTGGTGGACTATGGCCTGATTCCCCTCGTGCTGAAGGGAGACCCGTGCCCAGCAGTGGGACGTTAAAAAGGGCTGAATACATACATACACATATTGACGTAGGCATATCCCAATATCTCTAGTGATGCGTAAAGAGTACAATAAATAGACTATCAGTGGTACAAACGGTTTACAATAATTCTCCTTTTCATTTGTCCAGAACAGTGGTAATGAATCTTAATCACAGAAGCGTGTGCAGTGACAGGCCACGGTGACTAACTGGTACTCGGTTGGTTTAGCTGCTGGCAATAACACGACCGTCCGTCGCATATGTTTGATGTCTATGAGGCAAAGATTAATGATTGCCAGATATACAAAGTACTTTACCGAATTTGGATAGGCATGAAACTACCATGTACAAATACTTATGTATATATAGAAATATATAGATTTTATTTAGTAAATTAATTGTTATTTTGACCATATATTTTTATATAGGTTAAATAAAAATGCAAATTTGTACCATTTTTTTATTTATTTTTATTATCTCCAAAATATTATTGGACTAGTTTGATTGGATTAGGCTTTATAATAACAATTATATTTATAAAGAAAAGAATCTAAATATTAATAGCAAAATAATCTGGATCAGTTCACGGACAACACTCTATAGCTGTGCCCGAGTCGGATTATCAAATTTGACTTCTGAATTTCTCTTAAAATCTCTCGAAAATCTTGATTCCTAAAAAGATGCAACAGAGTCCACAGCTGCAATAACACTTCATTTGAAGCATATTAACTGTATGGCGATCTGCTTCGAAAATATTAGGTTGGTTTGAGCTGAGTAACACAAAACAACTTTTTTAATATAAAAATGACCCTTTAACAGTCTAGAATAGAACTTATAATCTGCAAGCAGCAGAACGGATTTTCTTGATTTATAGGTAAGAATCTATATACAGTCGATCAAGTCACATTTCAAACAAAAAAATTGCATTTCATCCGTTTGGGTGCTAAGTTGCCACAGACAGATACACAGATACAAACGTTAAACTTATAACTCTTCTCTTTAAGCGTTGGGGATTAAAAAGAAGTGCCAAATGGTTCTTTAAAGCACATAAAATTCTTATTTACAAAGTAAGAAGCTAGCAACAAATGGAAAAGTTCCACTTTGGACAGTCTGCTCGATATCTTTGTTCTTTGCCGAAAATGACTTGAATAGGACATGTTACAGACTCGGGCGGGTTACATTGTATACAATATCTGCGCTTTACGACTCCAACTATTCGCTTTGCTAAACGGAATATGTATAATGATTACTTAATTCGTCGCCTTAGTGTTTACTTGTTCAAACGATTAATACCTATTGTAATTTACGGTACAGAGTTTTTATTTTCTCTTTTAAAAAAAATCTTTTTTCTAAGATTAATATATTATAAAAATACCTATATTATATAAATAAAATACATTTTTCCGGCATTATAAATTTAAATGTGTATTTAATACCAAAAGAATGGGGAAGAATTTTGTTTTAGAAAAGTTTTGGATGAAAATTATATAGATAGACTTTGACCTGGAGTGACACATAGACAGTAGCTACTAGAGAAAGACGTA